CGGGTCATTAAAAATCATTAAAAGTCATTAAATAATAATTTTTTTAATTAAGGCCTTATTTGGCATTTTATTTCATTAAATGTGATTATTGTGGCATTTAAAATGCTTTCTTTAAAAAAAACTTCTTCCCGGCAGAGAAAAAGCTAGAGAATGGGAAAATGCTAATTTCAACAAAAGTATGTGGAAAATGAGGAATTCAGGACTGCAGTCTGTTGACGGGTACATATTGATGGCATTAAAATTATTTCTAAGAGCATTTAAAGAGCATTAAAAAGCATTAAATTAGAGTTACTCACTCCTGTATGAACCCTGTTGAATGACTGGCTGAAACTGTAGCTCACCACAGACATACGCCTGAAAGTGTTCATATGCAGAAAAAGATTGCTAACTGGGGATGAGCACGTAAGATGGCATTACATGTTATCACCAGAATGATGGACCGCTTATTTAGATGATCCACCCAGAAATAAAAGATCGTCCTCTCTACCTTTCATGACAATGACAATAATGCTATGTCCTCTAGCAAAAATATTTGGTTCTTGATACACTTGTAATTTTCTAAGTTTAATCTAAGTTTGGACAACATATGCATTCCAAGTTGCAGTGGTTACACTTTGATTCATGTTTTTCTGTGTTTGCTAGTTTATTGATTTCATTTTTATTTTGAGTTGTTTTCTTGTTGTATTTGAGTTCCTATGTATTTCTTTTTTAACCCTCTGCTGCCCTCTTGTGTCCATCTCTTTCCCATAGCTCCCTTTTAGATTTTTCTGTCCACACCTGCTCCAAATCAGTTGATAACACCAGTCTTTATTCTGTTTGACATATATACTCCTTCTCTTCAGTTCAGTTCTACGTTCAGACCGCGCGCTAGAGGCAGCAGAAGCAGCTAGTTTACATGCAAAATCAATGGTTGAAGCGCATCAAGGCGCAGCAAAAGGTCCTGCTGCACATTTTAAACAGCAGGGGCAGTGTGTCTGAGCAACTGAATTATTTGGTTTTCTGTATTTCATTATTTAGGATTTTTGCTTCTGTTGCCACCTTTTGGATACTTTTGGATTTTAAGTCTTCAAGAAACCACCTCAGCTTCCGCCTCTGCATTTGGGTCCTCTTCAAACTGCCATACAACCTGACAGTATTTAGGTAAGAAACAAGAAAAGACTTGTTGGAAGTTGGTGAAATATTTTAAGTGCTTTAAAATATAGTATTTGAATTGGTTTAGATGAAGGGAATAATGTGATCCACAGGCTCACTAATGAGTTGGTTATCTTGGGTAATGAATGTAAAATTAATAAGAAAAGAAATTAAAATGGGCCAGTTCTAATTCTGACATTTCTGGGTTATCTAATAATTTTAGCCAATTTAGGATTTAAAATTTTTCCCTTCAGCTTGGCTTCTTTGTGTATTATCCCTAAACGTCTTAAAGTTCATACATGTGGTTTTACCTATTATTCTTTTATCTATAATTTATATATATTGCTGACAGAGAGTTACCTTGATTTCCATATACATCCAATTTTTGTTTAACAAAAACAACTAAACCAAAAGTTACATCTAACAACATGCAGTTGTGCTTGAAAGTTTACATAACCTCCTATTAAAAAAATTATAAATTCACACCATTAATTCAAATAACACAAAACTGAAAAATGTAATTATTAAAATACACTATACACTTTTATTTAGTAAAATTTCTATTTCTTTTACTTTAATTTAGTATCACATTTTTCAGTTGCAGTTTTTTAACTGGCGGCTGATTGTTTTCTGTCTTAAAGAAAGGGTATGTAAACTTTCAACTGCATGGAATTTAATTTATTTAACACAACCTAAAACACCATCTAAATCAGTTATATGAACACATAGCTGTCTCTTGAAAGAATTTGTTAAAAGCAATTTTATAAAATTATTTTATCTGATGATGACCCTTTAAAAGGCACTTCAAATAGCAAATTATGTATACAGAAAAAAGTATGATAAACTTGCTGTTTAAACTAAAGTTTATGCACTGAATAGTTAAGCTAAAAATATAACACACATAGAAAATAACTACAAATTAATCTAAATCAAGGATCATGAAATAAATAAATAAATAGATGGATTAGAAAAAAATTTAATTTCTAGATATATGTCAAACTTTACTGGATCCCTGTGAGATATTTACTATGGTTCTGCATCACTGTTGTCGACCCTTCTTTTTTCTCTTAATTATCTGACTTTGTTTTAGCCTTTTTGGTGTTGTGTAAGAAGACTCAATATTCTACTCTTAATGGTGCTATTGTGAATCCCCTGACAAGCCCTCTAATTTAATGCCCCATGACACTGAGCATCAAAGCTCTAGTGGAAACAGAGTTCTTGGAAACACATTTTACGTGTAAATGAAATATATTTCACTTGAATCTGTTGTAACATCAGTTGACTTCTAAGGAAAATGCAACAATTGCAACATGATGAGTACAATGATGGCCCTTTCTCTGATAATTCTAGACAAAAAGATCAATACACAACTATGTAGTTCTTATATATCTTTCTTTCTTCAACTTTGCACATGTTAGTTTCAAAAATACAGCTAAGAATGATTAATCAGTAGGGAAATTTTAAAAAGTCTCTTCCAGTTATGTATTTCACCAGAAAGATGCAGATAATTTGGCGAAACAATGTTACCCAAAAACAAATAATGTTTCATGTATTTGGTCTTTTAGATGAAAAGGTAAAAAAAATGAATGCAGCCCAGTATTGAAAGGTATGATTTCAAATACTGTGGCAATTGTGTTGTGCTTAAAATGGGCAGATTAATTGGTCTTTTTTCCTTTTAAATAAATAGGACTTCATGTGGCTTTTAATACAGTGTCTAAGTATTGACTAGAGTGGGGGTTAAAAAAAATGCATTTCAAACTTTATCAATAAAATGGTGTTGCAAAACTTTGATCATATTACCCCCTTGTCACCTTGCATATTTAACATTTTGTGTTCACCTATACCATTGAATCCCCAAAATACATACATCTGGTAAATGCACAAACAATTTAAAAGGGGGCAGAATAGTTTCGCTTGGAGCTGTAAGACAGGGAAAATAGTTGAAATTTTCTGAAGGGCCTCTTGTTAAACCTGCCTTCCTAACCCTGAACTGGGCATCTGACCTTCAATCATATAGGTGGTCATGTGCTCAGAGGCTGACTTCCAGCGAAGAGCCTTCATCTCAACATTATTTTTTATGTATTGGCTTGAGCTTGTTTTTTCCTACCTTTATGGAGCCAATTTAATTGGTTTAACTGTATATGTCTGGAAAAAAATAGATCACTATGTTGTTAAATCTCTAATTTAAACCTTCCACTGTTATGCAGATGCCTCCAAGGTTTAACTCCCTCTTAAAAAAGCCAAGGGCTTCTCCTTTTTTCATTGTTCATACCGGTATATCTCAATGATATAAAGTCCTGGATGGCCTCAAACTTTTTGAATTTAAATGAGCAAAACATAGATATTGGTTCTGTGGCACAATATGTTTAGCCTGTTATCACAAATCTGATCTTAAAACTGATCTTAAACTTGAAAGCCAGATCAGGATGGTTGTCAAATGATTTTTTTTCATTGAGGCAGCTAGCTAAAGTAAAACCATTTATAGCGAGGCAGCATTTAGAAACAGTGATCCATGCATTTGTATTGTAACTCTTAGGCTGAATTACTGTAACTCACTTTATCTTGGAGTTAGTGATGCATCTATCAGGCGCCTGCAGGCTGTGCAAAATGCTGATGCACGACTTGTAACTGGATCTAAAAGGTTTGAGCACATTATCCCCATATTAAAACTTGTTTTAAATTTCTCTTGTTTAAATCTCTTAATGGTTTGCAATTAAGATGCTGCATTTGCGTACCCTATCCGATCCCTAAATTCTGCAGACCAGAAGCTCCTTGTTGTTCCTATATCCAAGTGGAAACAATGAGGAGATCGTGCCTTTGCTGTAGCAGCTCCAGTTATGGAATAATCTGCCCTTGGTTGTCAGGCAGGCATCCTCTATTTCAGAATTTCCGTATCTTCTTAAAACACCCCACTTTGCTGAGGCATTTTGTATATCCTGAGACCTTTTTTTTTATTCAACTTAATTTTTTATCTTCTGTTTTAATTACTTTTCATTTGAGCTACTTTAACACTACTTTTAATTCTTAATCTTTATTTTAGCTTGTTTGTATTTCTCTGTCTATTTGAATTTTACTGTTGCTTTCAATTGTATGTGCAGCACTTTGATGACCTTTGTTTTTTTTAAAGAGCTATATAGATAAAAGGGTATGGTATGATATATCCTTAATGATAATTCTTAAAAACAAAATTCTACATCAGGTCTAGAAAACTCCCATTTTATGAGCAGGTATAGATAAAGTACCCAATACTGCATAGCAGTAAGTAAGTAAATGTTGCCATTCAAGAAGTTGTAAAAAGGTTACTCAACTATATAGTATATACTGTACACTTGTCTGACCTCCAACTGCCACAGCGGCTTCAAGCTTGTGTAGAAAAAATAACTTTCACTTTAGCATGTTAATTCATTCATCCATTCAGTGATGTTACTCATGATGGGCAGAATCAAAAAATGTACTTAGTTATTTAACATTATAATGTGACCTAAATAAAAGTATAAAAAAGGTGGAGTAAAAGTAGATTTTTCTTAAGTAAATTAGACTGAAAAATCAGCTAGTTACCCCTGTGAATGATTCTGATGGGACACTAAGCTTAAAGCTAATTTTAATTCTTTTTTTTTTTTTCATTTTTGGGGAAGGCGTGTGACTCGACCACAAGGAACAACTAAACATCACATTATCATCTGCTGCAATTAAGTGGTTGTACAACATAATAGCTCCTTCAGACAGATTCCTGGTATTTTTTCCAGATCTTGCTGCAACTCACAGCCAGGCTTGTCAGGTGACCATCACAAGACCAATGTCTTAATCCTCTTCATCCCTACAAAAGCAAGAATGCACATTAGAGGCGTCTTAATCTGCGTGTAACCAGTTGCAACACGCCGTGCTTTGGCTTTAACTGCTTTTTCCAGAGATTTTAACTTTATCACTGAATCTAATTTGAAGATACACAGCAGCAGACCGTGGTTGAGTGAGATTCCACACTCCTTGGGGGGGAAACAAATTGACTACCTCACATCGACCACTTGATCTGCAAATTGATTTTTTTTAACATGTCATTGGAAGAAAGAAACAGGTTGAACATGAGGACCGTGCTGCTTCTCTGCATTGTATCTTTGCTTCTCTTTGTTTACCCTGCAGAGGGGCAATTTCCTAGAGCTTGCTGTACAGTGGAGAGTATCAGGTCTAAGCAGTGCTGCCCTTCTCTGGGTTCAGATCCTGCCAACGTCTGCGGCTCTCTGTCAGGGAGAGGAAACTGCAGTGCTGTGCGAGTCGACTCCAAACCCTGGGGGGGACCCTACAGACTCAGAAATGTTGATGACAGAGAGAGATGGCCCACCAAGTTCTTCAATCAGACTTGCAGATGTAATGGTGAGTGAATGAAATAATGTATGTGTAAACCATCACAAACACCTTAAATTGCAAATATTTTAAAATTGGCTTTTTGTGCTTCAGGTAACTTTGCTGGTTATAACTGCGGTCAGTGTAAGTTTGGTTGGACAGGTCAGAACTGTGACCAGAGAAAAACACCTGTGCTTCGGAAGAACATCCACTCCCTAACCAGTGAGGAGCTCCAGGAGTTCTTAGATGTCCTGGATCTGGCTAAGAACACCATCCACCCAGATTACATGATTGCCACACAGCACTGGCTGGGCTTGCTGGGACCAAACGGGACTGAGCCACAGTTTGCCAACATTTCCATCTACGATTTCTTTGTCTGGCAACATTACTACTCAGTCAGAGACACTCTTTTAGGTAAATAAAAATTTTGATATCTTTAACAATCAAAATCCTATTGAATAAGGTGATCAAATTACAGTTTATGGTGTTTAGAAACAGACATAACTGCATATGATGGGGCTAGATGATGCATTATCTTTAAGTTTATGTTTAAGCTAAGGTACTAATTATAGAATAATAATAATTCATACATCTGTAGGAAAGCCCCCTGCTGAAATCTAGAGTCAGGGCTAATCCTTTACAAGTGTTCTTAAACATTTAGTATTAACTATATTTGTATCAACTGAACTGATTTTTAGTATTTTGTGTAGAGCCATATTATAAATTATTGGATACCATGCTTGTTCTAATGTTAGTTTTGAAAATATATATAATATACTAATTTTCCTGCAGGTCCTGGTCGCCCATTCAAAGCCATAGATTTCTCACATAAAGGTCCAGCATTTATTACCTGGCACAGGTACCATCTTTTGAGCTTAGAAAGAGAACTTCAGGTAATATATGTCTATCTGTAGAAATACAACTTAATTTTTATGTAAAAAAATAATAATAATATTAAGGATTTTATTATTGTCTCTTACGGCAGAGACTCACAGGTAACGAGAACTTTGCGATTCCGTACTGGAACTTTGCCACAGGACAGAGTGAGTGTGATGTGTGTACAGACTCTCTGCTTGGAGGCAGGAACCCAGAGAACCCTTTCCTCATCAGTAACCAGTCCAGATTCTCCAGATGGGGGATAGTGTGCAACAGGTCAGCAAAACAAGGGATGGGAAAATACTGTGCGTTTTATTGGAAGATGAACACCCCCGAGCTATATCATTTAGAGATGAATGCTTTAGTGCAAGACAACTTCCAGGGAGAGGAGAACTGGCTAAGCTATGACATTAATGTTTAAGCCACAGCATGGCAATTGTATCACGTTTTCCAGATTTTAGACATTAGCCCAACAAAAACATAGGTATTTAGTGCTCTGGAATCCAGTGGTACAGCTTTGTTAAGTCAGATTTTCCAAAAAAGTTAAAAAACAATCCACTGGACGTTGTTTCCAAGTTTGAAGACATTTCTCTACCATCCAGAAAGCTTTTTCACTTTAAAATGTCAGAAATTTTGTTGAGTTCAAGGCTTTATAGAGTTGACCAAAAACAAAGCCTTGTTTTGGATTCGAAAACATGCAAACTGAACCGGACAAACGGGTACGCCCCTTAGGAATGGGCAGTCGTTTGGGTTCTTTGTTAGCCTGCAATACCTGATACCTGTCTATGTCTCTGAAATTGGGTCGTTAGGGGGAATTGTTGGCCTGACTGAACAAGCAAGATGTTCTGTTCAACTGTATGGGGATGGGGGTTGTGATGATAGTGGGAAGGAATCAACTTTATTGCTGAATTGTAGTCTATAAAGCCTCAAACTCAACGCTATCTCTTACATTTTGAATTGAAAAAGCCTCCTGGATGGGAGGCAAAACGTCTTCAAACTTGGAAACACATACCAGTGGATTGTTTTCTTTTACTTTTCTGGAATGACTTTGAGCTGGATGACTGAGAATCTTTACCAGCAGAAGTCAGAATTTATATAACACAATAAATAAAGAGCAATGTAATGTAAAAATAAATTTTAAAATGTATTACCAATGAATCTGAACTTTATCATATAAGTATTTATAGATCCCTTAGATTCACCCTTTGTTGCAATTTCAGCTGTAATTCTTTAAGGCTGTGTCTCTCCAAATGTTTGGGTCCCAAGGCTAAATATCTTTGGGCATACTTCTTTGTAAAAGACCTCAGAATCAGTGAAACCAAGGGAATGAATCAGTAAACATCTGATTTTAAGTGTGGACTTTATCTGAACCATTTATATAAATAATTATGCTTTGCTCTAAGCCGCTTTATTATGGTTCTGTGAGCACATTTAGGGCCAAGCAGCTCTAATCTTAAGAGTTTAAAGCCTTTAAAATAATTTCAAGGATTTCTCTGTTTTTCAGTCATCGTTTTATTATATCTTATTTATTCATGTTAAAAAAAGATTTGGATGACCACATTAACACTAAATAAAATTAAATATGTTCTAACATGACAAAATACAGAAAAAGATCAGGCTGCATAAGTGCTTGTTCAATCAAATGCAGGTCTCAAAAAACAGGTCTTAAAAAATACAACTAAAGTATTACAAGTTTGTCCATTTTGTTATGAAAAATGTTAACTCTTTATTTTCTTCTTCTAGTTTGGACGATTACAACCGCCTGGTGACTCTTTGTAATGGCACAAGTGAGGGATTTATTCAAAGGGGGTTGGTAGGAAGAACAAACATGTCTTTTCCTACCATGACTGATGTAAGGAGCTGTTTGGGAATTAGAGACTTTGATAGCCCTCCATATTTTACCAACTCCTCCTTTAGCTTCAGGTAAAAACAAACACCTTGTTTCATAAATGTGTTTGAAGGCTAGAAACTCACTGCAATAATGTAAAAAACAGTAATTGATTAATTTGCTTAAATTGAACAGAAATGCACTTGAAGGGTATGAAAAGCCAGATGGAGAACTGGATGACTCTGTTGACAACCTTCACAACCTTGTTCATGCTTTGCTCAATGGAACCAGTGCTTTGTCCCACTCTGCAGCCAATGATCCCATCTTTCTGGTAAAAATTCAATTGCATAGCATTAATCAAAATAAATTAGGATTCAGGCCAAATAACAATTCTGTTTCTGTTTTCATTTTAAAGGTTCTTCATTCTTTTACCGATGCAATTTTCGATGAATGGATGCGCAGGTTTATTCCATCCAACGCCACCTACCCAGATGAAATGGCCCCCATCGGTCACAACAGGGACTACAACATGGTTCCTTTTTTCCCTCCAGTCACCAATGAAGAGATCTATGTCACATCTGATCAGCTGGGATATTCATATGCTATTTCCCTCGATGGTGAGTAAATACTCAGCAAACAAGTTAAACATGATTAGAGGGCCATTTTTCTTTGTACCTGAATGTTCACTTATTGTGGCAAGAGATTTTTTCTTCCTCTGTGTTCTTTAATGGGTCCTGCATTAAGCTCAGTTGTGTTTTATTACAATTTCATTAATCTATTTAATTTATAAGGCATATTGGGTCAAGCAGGTGTTGAGAGAATTTGGTGGAGATAAATCCAGCTGTTTAGAGCATAAAACTGCTATAAAACTGAATATGGCTCCATCTCTGTCAGGGGAGTCGATATGTGGTGCTGTCAATCAACAGACAACTCCAGAATTTGATGACATTTTATCATTAATAAGTAACCATAACATTTGTTAATTTTATCTTTTTAGTTGTTTAACTTTATTTTGTAGCACTTTGACATAGGCCATTGTTGAAGTGCACTATAAAAGGTATTTATTATCATCAAATTAACATTTCGAGAATATTTATTTTCATTCTTAGCTCCAAGTCCTTGGCTTAGATCATCATCTTTCTTTAAAGCCACTCCTAAACTGTCCAGTTACGTACATATTCTTTTTCATTTTATTTTATTAGATCACCTGCAACATGCCGACTCATTGAAGGCACAATTTTATTTTTTGCAATTTAACACACCTTTTAAGGAAATTAACAGTTTATTGATGCTTGAATAATTCATTAACAGTTTATAGAAATATTTAAATATTAATTCATTATATGTGCTAATAGCATATATGATCTTATCCTTTTTATTTATTACAATTGATAGCCCTGGGCGTGCAGGTGGTACAGTGGTTGGTCCTCAATGCTGGCGACTGGGGTTCGATTCCGGCCTGTGGTCCTTTCCCGCATGTCACTCCCTCTCTCTCATAACCCCTTTCCTGTCAGCCTACTGTTGAAAAAAACAGCCACTAGTGCTGTAAAAACTAAAAAAAAAAATGAGATAGCCCTGTTTGTGGGGCTTTAAGTGTTATAGATAAGGTGGTTTGTTAACAGATGAGCCAACGTGCGGCATTTACTGTAGCCAATCAGCTTTACAGTCTATCTGATAACGCCTAAAAACTATTTAAATGATTATTTTATTCAAAATACATTTCATTTGAAAATTTTAGGCTTTACTAATTAAATGTATAGTGGGGGATTTTCATAAATTTTGAAAAGACCTGCCATCTTTTCAAAATAAAAAAATGCACATGCACAACCCTGTACCCACTACCGACTACTGGGGCCGACAGTGACGTTGGATGTAGGAGTTTGCCCTGAAATCAAAGGGTTGACTGTTCAAGTCCTGACTCCGACTTTCAGTGTTGTTGTGTTCTTGGGCAAGACACTGATTTGTCTACTGATGGTGGTCAGAGGGCCCAGTGGCGCCAGTGTATGGCAGCCCTGCTTCTGTCAGTGAGCCCCAGGGCAGCTGTGGCTACATTGTAGCTTGCCACCATCAGTGTGTGTGTGAATGGGTGAATAAATGTAGTGTAAAGCGCTTTGGTCAAGTCTCCTGACTTGAATAAAGGCGCTATATAAGTACATGCCATTTACCATTTACCGATAGGAAACACTTATTCGTGCAAGAGCATGCACAAGCCCATTTCTCCTCATGCACGCTCTGTTCAAAAGAGCTTGCAATTTTTCCACTATGTCGGACTTACCATGGGTAAGTGTAAAATGTGAGAAGCATGTAGGATGCCCTTACATAAACATATCACCAGAATGATTGACAATTAGGAGCACCACTTATTTTGATGATCCACTTTGAAAGATAACATCCTCCACTATAACTTTAATATATCACGCAGGGAATGATTTTTGACCAGGTTCAGGGACTAAATATTGTTATTACCTTATCAGCACTGATTATCGCAACTGAGCAAAGTAATCAAATTTATCAAAGATGAAGTCAATATCATTGATAATGTCCTTAAATGTTACATTAGGATTATTGATCACATACTAATCCTGCTGGACATGTAAACTTTTAGTTTTTCTGTGTGTTTCTCTTTTCTACAGATGCAGATGAGGGAGCTGTATTTGTACTTGGCTCCACGTTGGGAGGTGTCTTTGTTGGTCTACTGGTGCTCCTCCTTATCTTTGTGCTCTACCTGCGTCAGCGTAAAAACAGAGGCTTTGAACCGCTGATAAGAGCAGATTTCACAAACAGAAAGTACACAGAGGAGGCCTAGCTTTTACCTGTGGTTCCAAAATGAAATCCCAGCGCTCAAACGTACCTCAGAGCAATGGAGCTGTCAGTGTATGATGTTAGAAAATTCCCAGTCCTACAATCGAATGAAAAACCTTACCTTTAGTTTTTAAGTTTAACCATTAAAGAACATTTATCTTGTGTACAGTGCCTTGCAAAGGTTTTCATATGCCCTTAAATATTGTTAAATTTCATATTTTAAAACACAATCTAACAAAAACCAGTTCAAACCAACACAATTCATTTATTGAAAGAGACAGAAAATTATATATGGATCTAATTGAAGAATGGTACTTTCTAACCCAAATGTGCTTTAATATATATTCCATGGTAGCTGTGGCTATGTTTTCAATGTTGTTCTTCTGAAAAAAATGACAATTTTTTCAGGCTTTTTATAGACTTTCCCCCCTATTTATTTAGCAGGGGTGTAAATCACCAGCTTGATTATGATACAATGTTCTATTGATTTATTGGGATGATGCTAGGCTGTTTGCAGATATATTACAGAACAATTTCCATTAAAGTCAGTTCTCAAGTCCACGACTGATTTTAAGTAATATCATTTGACCATCTAACACAACAAGCTAAAGTATGATTTGACCATTTTTAATCCAATCTGTAAAGCAGTTGTTCCATTAGCAGATTCTTAGAGTTGAGCTGTTGATCCCTACAGCTAGATTGGAGTTACCAAGGGGCTGTTATCTACTGTTTAGGAAACACTTTCGTCAGCTATACCTTGGTAGGCTTGTAGTTATCCCAATCAATAGATTTTTATATAACTGAAAATGCTTGATAAAATGTTGAAAACTTAGGATATTGTTCGATAAACGATAAGTTCTTCCTTCTTCTTCCTGATGCAGATCTTTTTTCTTTGTAAAGTTCTGTAAAAGAAACCTTTACAAAACTGCTGTGTAGGCTTATTTATTAAGATGCATGCTGAATATATATCTTCATACCCGACTCATGATTGGAGTTTCTACACTTGATTTCAATAATAGGCATCAGACTGAATGGATTTGAGTGCAAATCAATGCAACTTTTCAGATCATTATATGTATATAATTATTTTTATATAGATCTTTATGTATCAGTTTTATTCCACTCCCCAGTTCTACATTCTGCAAGTTGCTAATTCTAAAACGTAAACAAAAGTTTGTGGCAACATATTGAAAAGCTTAGGTGGTATGCAAAGTTTTGGGAGGCACTGTAAAAAAGTAAAATGTCAAATTTCTTTTTAAAAAATATCTTTAAAAAAAAGTTATAAAACTCAGTATTCTGTAAAAAAAACCAAATCAGAATTAATTCTCAAATGTATTAAGACAGAAATGCAATCATCTTGACCTCAGGGTTAATATACATTATGGCATCTTTGCTCAACTAACTCTTTACCTCTAAATGAAGAATAAATATAACTGTGATTTATAGGATTGATGTAATTCCACACTGGATGAGCTGTTGTTTTAACTTTTATTGCAGAAATGTTACAAATTCAATGATTAAAAAAAAAATAAAACACAAAAAGGGCATCTTGTGAGATCAACATTCAGAATAAAGAATCATGTTCATTAATAAGCACTGAATATATTCTCTCTGTTGGTGTTCCTGCACTGTGGATTTAAAGAAGTAGCTCAAAACAATATTGAAAAGCCAGATAGATTTTCTTTAATATTTGTGAAGGGGAAAACATAGGCTAATTCTGTGGATGTCTACGCTCAGTTGGCCCTCTGGTTATGAACCTGACAGGCTCTCAGGGAACAGGGATCCTACATCCAGACATGTTTTGTCCGCGCCCCTCAGCGGTGCCAAGGCCTCTCACATTCTGTGTAAGTACGCTCTACTGAGGAGCTTCACTGAAGCATTCAGGCCTGTCGGGTCCCCACAGATTCTCATTTCACAGGTGACTGTGGTCGGCTTCAAGCCTGTCTGTGCTGCAGACATAACCATTCAAGCTTTCCAGATAAATTCAGGGAGTCTTTCTTAACATTCCCTGTCACCAATGTGTGCTGTTGGCCGCTTGCCTCTCTTAATAACTCCCACACATCCTACAAATATGGTAATATGTGTTTCTATGTTCTTTTCAAATCTGTAAATCTGTTTGAAGGTGGTTTTTTGACTTTTCTTTTGCAACAGTGCCCATTCAAAATACTAAAACAGTTACACAGTAAGCACTTTTCTTTAAAAAAAAAAAGGCAAAAGTTCCAGTAAATATGAAACATGTTTGATATGTTATTTAAATATTTGGTTACTATTGTGTAAAGTATTCTGAGGAAGCAGCAGAGAACAGGATAGACTCGTTTGCTTTGAAATGATATAGATTTTACAGCAGAACAGGAGAACAGATTTGCTCTTTTAAAGCAACACCAACTGTAGAAAAACCCACTTTGACTTAAATTGATAATTTATTCTTGAGAGAATATTTAAATTGCGTATTTTAATTTATGATGGCAACTAGAAATCTCCTAATCTGAATTTCTTGCCAACCACTAGTGTTAAAAGGGTTGTTCAGATGTCTGAAATGGGTTTCTGTTGAGAGATTATGAACAGTCAATAACTTACCTGCTGCAGATAGTTCCATTAGTCCTCATTTTGATAAAAATAGATTACATTTGACCAAATAGGTTAGTAAAAATACAACTGAACATACTTATATATATATATATATATGTTCAGTTGTATTTTTACTAACCTATTGGGGTTATATATAATCTATTTTTATCAAAATGAGGACTAATGGAACTATCTGCAGCAGGTAAGTTATTGACTGTTCATATATATATATATATATATATATATATATATATATATATATATATATATATATATATATAAAACTAAAGTGCCTTCTAATAAGTATTAAAGAGCCTGATGTTATATTTATTGGCAACTGTAGAAATTATTTACAATAAAGACTGCATTGGTCCATGGTGTACTGAAATTGCACTTCATTACTACATCTTTTGACATGCTAACGGTCTGATGGTAAAATAAACAATAAAAACAATTAATAATGGTTTTAACTGCTAAGTTTTTTTTTTATTCATTGTTACTTGGGCATAGCTATATTCAAATGTGTGCGTACATGAGTGGCATTAATTTTTCCAAACCACTTTGAAGAGAACAAAGGAATTTCTTACATCAGGAGCTTAAGCTTATTTCCTTGTGACATCAATTAGGACTCTTAGATCAAACACAAGCTGTTTTATCTTGAAAGAGTTACAGTATTTTGCTTTGTAGTTGAGAACCCGACGACTGCTGTACTTGCATCTGTGCACTGGCTTGCTTTTGGCTGTTGTATACTATATACCATATTATACTACTATATACTGGCCTTATTATGCATAATGTGCACCGGCTCACTTTAAATCTAACAGTAAAAGCTGAAGGTCCAGATCTTTACTGATTTAAAGGGGTAGATTATGCTGAGTTCTCTACCCCAATTTCTGTTGGCAATGCCTCTAATCCTGCTGCTGGCTGGGAGAGAGTCCAGGTTAAGGTTTCTAGATAGAAAAAAGGCAAGTACTGAAGCTGGACCTGAATACATTCTGTAAATTCTACCAGGTAAACATAATCAGGAAAAAGAAAAAAAAAAAAATATATATATATATATTTTTTTTTTTTTTTATTGTAACACGTTCATTGTAAGCTCGGTAAAGGTAAAGTAAGAGTTTGAGTTACAAACATATTGATCAAGCAAATGCCAAGCAGCTAAGACTGTTAAATGACATGATCATTTATATTTGTTATATACAGTAGTAGCCATTCAAAATATCCCCACTTTCCTTGATTGGCCCTTGGATGCTTCCCTAAGATTCCCTTTTTAAACATCAATCTTTGTGCTAAAATATTCCTCCTGTCATGATTTTTGGTCATGTATTTCAGTGAAAGGGTGGACAAAAAAAAAAAAAGCATGCCCAGGAGAAGGAGGGGGTCACTGCAAGGGCTGGAAGTTGGCTGACATTCGGCTGGAGTTTGAATGGGAAGGGCCATTCTGAATGGCTGCTACTGTATAATTTTCTATACTATATTATAACTGTGTTTGATTAAACATGATTGTGAACAAATGTATGTATTAAGTGTGACTGTAGATCAAACTATTAGGAAAACAAGCTATTAATATGGATACATTTCGAGTTAACCTGTGTGAACTCACATTAGAACTATTTCCAGTGAAGGATGAACTAACATAACACTGGGTTGTATGGATAAACTTAATCTGTAATTTTCACTGTTTGTGTTATCTAGAAAGTCCCTTATGTGCTACAGGCAAGAGAAGTCTTCATAATACATAGCCATAGACCTCTATGTAATAACAATCTCAGTCAAGTGTGAGTTTAGTTTAAACCTTTTATTCTTGTTTCAATAACCCTATGATATGATAGATATCTACTGAAAGTTATTGGCCATAACCTCTCACCAGAATCCCACTTAAACGAATGGAGAGAAATCTCTTATGCTGGCAATGAAAGACCAGTAATTACTCACTGTCAACCCAATTATAGATTGATCAATCAATAATTTTAAAAACAATTAGCATTTAGCTCTCTCTGGACTCTTGAAAAAAATGGTAACAGCGCTCCATAATAAAAAAAAAAAACACCCCTTTTAATGAGTTATTACACGCTGTACACTATTAAAGCTAACATAAGAACCTAAAATTATGGAGTTAAAACATTAAATGTTAATCCTAATCCTGGAAGTTTTAGCAAAAGGCCACATGAAAAGTCTCTTCAGATTTTGCATAAAACAATATGTGTATTTCTCTAAAAAAACAAAACAAAAATAAAAACATTTAAGTTGTGACAAAGATAAAGATTTTTTTTTGTTCCTTTACAAATCAATAATTGATATAGTGTTATACATAATCAAATTTAAACCAAAGTGGACATGGTTCCTGAATCCATTTGCACTTAGACGGTCATTTCTTTAAAATATATTATCAAACATTTATCAGCTTATTGTACCTTTTTAAGGTGCATATTTAGACCACATCTCTTTTTTACATTTTCTTAAGACAAAAAAAAATTTGCAATAAAAAAAATCAAAGTGCACACTATAGTTTTCTTTCTAAATGGAACCCTATGTTTATACTTGTGACATGTGAGAGAAATGTAAAGATTTATAAAAAAAATCTTTGAAGCAAAGTTTGTTGGATCCACATCAGTTTTAAAAACTGAAATGATGCCAAAAGATATAAGTCTAAGGATGCCACTGCATGATCTTTGGAAAAGTGGAAAATCATGATGTGAATGGCTACTCTCTTTCTCAGAGCAGAATCCTGCACCATCAAAGTGGGTAGCCTGCTCTTTGCTTGACTGTAGCTCCAATGTGCCTGAATACAAAAACTGCCGGAGAGGAGAGGAAAAGGAAAACTCTTCAGTCCATAACTAGCTTGTTGCTCCAGCATTATCTCCATTGTTGGTGCAGAGCTAGTGCTAAGACAGCCAGCATGGTTGGCAGGGCTATGGGAGGTGCAAGGTGCACAGCAGAGTCCTCCACAGGCCCGCTTCGGTCAGCTCTCACCACTGGGGTTTCGGTAGCAGCACTGTACATGTCTGTAGTGCAGCCCTCTGTGCATCCGCTTCCACTGCCTGAGCCGCTGCCTTCATCGCCTGAATTACAGGAGCAGAGCAAAAACCCAAAAGGGCACATCAATGCATCATTTATTCTCAGAGATAGAGAATTCAAACTTGACATTTAAACTTGTTTAAGATTTTGATTTATATGAATTAATGTGAAAAATGGTCAATAACTGTTTCTTCTAGATAATGTGTAATTATCATAGCTCATAAACTGAAGTACTTTAGTTTAAGTAAATAAGAATTTCTAACCTATAAAGTAGTCTAACATATTTTTTCTGGTAAACAGTTTTTGTTTTGCATGATTTCTGTTGCAACTTTCTGACATAACCTTTAGGTTTTGTGTTTTTAGTTTAAAAAATTCCACCGGGATACATTACCAGTCAAAATTAAAATTGGTTGACACAATCTTTATACTAATGACAATCAGCTGCAGTGGTCGTTTTTCCATTTAGTGTTTGCAAGTTTGTTCCATTAGGCATTTTATGGACAGGTCTCAGTCTTTCCTTTCCTTTATCACCCAAACCCTGTCATCCAGCAGGTTATAGTCCCACCTAACTGGCAGCACAACTCTTAGAACTTAATCTTTTTAATCAATAAAACTTCTGTTCCTATTAGATGGTTTGATGCTTCATTAAAGTACCTGAACTCAATTTTATATAGGAAAGCCTGATATATTGCCTATAGATTTATAGCGTCTTATTGTGATTTATTTAATGGTTGAAATCATGTGGTTCTTATGTGTAACAATAGCTGTACTTTACTTACTATTGTTAAAGCTATTAAAAAACAATTGTGATTAAAAGGAAATGGAAGCTTGGCATTTTTTTCAGTAAATTAGTAAAGCAATGTAATTTTGCTAGAAGTGGGCAGAACATGCATGATTACACGTTTCTCTAATAAGAAAATGGCAAGGGGAGCTGTTCAAAGAAAGAGTCGTGTTTAAGTTGTGAGTCAGAATATTTTTATATATAATATATTTTTTTCCTGGAAGCATATAATTAAGGTTGGAAGTAAGGTTTAATCTATCTAGATAATTTTCAAAAAGGAACAACAGGAATGGAGCAATTGCCTCTTAAAATTTATTTAGCTATTTGTTTCTACTCTATATTTTTACTTTGGTGATATGATGAGAAAAACACGTTTGTGCCTGCGGTTTATTAAAAGGTACAACTGGAAGGTTGTGAGTTTGACTACAGCTTCTTGCTGTCACACGGCAATAGATTTAACTCTAAGCTGGCTCCTTATCTGCATATGGATGTTAAAATGAGTTAACATGGCTATAATGTAAAATGCTTTGATTATAAAAAACAGAGTTTAGTATATGATAAATCCAGTACATTTGCTAAAAAACATAACAGTAAATTATTCTTACTGCCATCAAAACCTTAAAAAACCCAGCTTTTATTGATAAGAAAAGAATTGTATGGGTGCACTACCTTATCATGGGTATGTTTAAACATGGATGCTATGCGTTTCTACTGGAAAAACACAGTGCAGCCGTGTAAGATATGTTTTAAATGTTCCAACAAGCAAAAAAAAAAAAAAAACAAACAAAAGAAAAACAGTGTGACAGCTGCCTGAAGCAAAGCAGAAAAAAAAACATTCAGACTCATTTGTCTACACAACAAATCGGGTTAAGAACTTACTTGTGTCTTGAAAGTAGATGTCATTGCCATTGTATGCATTCCTTAGTTTGTTGGTCATCACCCTCAGAGCCATGATCTGTTGACGGATGAAGGTGTCAGGACGTGTGATGTCGACACCCACCTCAGGATTATTTAGCTGGTTAGTAAGGCCATCCTTTTGGACTTCAGGGAAATACCTTTATTGAAAAAACGCAATTTAAAAAAGAAAAAAAGATTCTACCGCATTAGTTTCAAAAAGGCAGTTGTTATGCAAAGACATCAATCAGAAAGAATTATCATCAGAGGCTTTAGGGAAGCATGAAACAAGTGCTTTTTTTTAACCCAAAATTGAAATATGCATCTAATTTTCATACAGCTGTTTGGGAAATGGCGCTCAAGGGTTACAGCATATATAAAAAATAGGAGTTTGACCCCATAATGTCAGTTAATGAACTGACATACTTGTGAGGTATTTCTCAAGGGAGAACTGTGTCAGCTGCCTGCTCTCCTGCTGAATAAATAGGCACCGGGTCGCCATGTGATGGAATTCTACTAATCATCTGACACAACAGCATTTGTTTTCTCATAAACTCCGATCACTCAAGCTAAGTACCTCTGAAATGTCCCTGAATTTGAAAAGGTAACGGTTTTGTTTGTTCCCTGACTCATTCAGGCTGGATTAGTAAACAGTGCCTTTTTAAAAGGTATACATAGTTCTCCAATCTCTTCACGTTGCAGAAATTTAAAATGCTGTTAAAAAATCACAAGAAGCACAGTTTGCAGTGATGCAGAAAATGCTTCATTCAAACAAACAAACCAAAAAAAAAATAAAAAAATCCCCTATAAATACTAAAGCTACATGCAGCAGAGAGCTGTACATGTCATCCCCACAGTAAAACATGGTGGTGCGAATCCTTTTCTTCAGGGAAATAGAAGCTGGTCCAGGTCAGTTAGAAGAGACAGAGCAAACAATGAGCTATTTAACAAACAATGACCAAATGTTTTAGGCGTAAGAAGTTGATCAAAGAGCTCACATGTTTTAAACATTTTTTTATGTTCATTACTACTATAAAATGGTTCATGTTGATCTTTTCCATTAATGTGATGGAAATACTGTACAATAAAGTGTTTATTTTTAACATGCCAAAATATAAAAGAAACTCTCTATACATACTTTTGCATCAGAGAGGGCAGTAGTTTTTTTTTCTACATAAAGAGAGAAGATTAGGAGTTAACACTAAGCTGGTTAAACCTACAGAACAAATAGAAAATGGTTCTCTAAGAATGGATAACATAAATATTCCAACTGATATCTAATATAATAAAAGAAGAATACAGTAATATACTAATACATCCTGATTTTAATTAAACACCTCTTGATGAAAATATGCCAAGCTCCCTGAAGTGAAACGGCTTCCCCCTTAATTCTAAGATCAGACTACTTAACGCCAGGCAGGCTGAACGGACTTTGGACTTTTAAGTAACCTTTTGTGTTAGCCTGCATTAAGCTCCTGGGCAGCATTCCCCTTACCTGCCCTTGGTGTGTCCATTCCAGCAATTCTCCTCACTGGCGTTTCCTGCAGTCACTCTGTCATCCACACATATTGCCTCAGGCAGGCTTGACCAGAACTTCTTGGACAACTTCAGTTTCTCTTTTATGTCCACAACCTAATAAAAAACAAATGCTTTTAGACAAGTCTAAAAAGTTTTGACAAAACAGAAATGTGCTTGTTATTTTACTTAAAATATTTCAATTATATTTCAATTATACTTAAATATTTGTCTAATATAAACAAATTCTCAAAAACAACAACAACAACAAAAAAAACAAGTAAATCATCACTTGGTTTATAAAAAGCAACCAACTACCTGGGTACAAGTAATTATAAATAAATCAAGAAAGTGTTTATGAAAACAAATTGTGAAGTGTGACCTAAGGCCATGAAATTTGCATGGAGCCTGAAGATGTATAAAAAGAGAAGAAAACAACAACAACAAAAAAAACCCCAAAAAAAACAAAAACAAAAAACAAAAACAAAACAGGGCACTCTAAAAAAAGGATCATTGAATATTTCCCTGAATACTAGTCATCATACTAAAATGACTGTGTAGCGATATGGGAAACTGATACAAAATACAATACATTCATTATACACACAGCACCATAAAAACATAAAATAAAGTCGGACAACTTTAACAACCAAATTTTATTTATTTATAAACAAGGTAAAATTGAAAAGTTCTATTCAAACTGAAAACTGCTTAAATTATGGACAGAGCAAGTAATGCTGTACATTTAATGCCAGAAAAACAAAACAATTTATTTCACTAAATATTTCAGAAACATAAAAAAACACATACAAATGAGGAAAATGACTGAGTAAACTCTGCAATACTATATTGTATTTTATTATTATATTTATTATTTTTTATCATTATATATATATATATATATATATATATATATATATATATATAAAAAATAAAAACTTGTTAAAACTGTTAATTTACAGTCATTTTTACTATTTCTCAAGGCTGCACTTTTAAAAGATGAAATTATAAAGTGAGCTGTTTCCAAACGAAATTTCTTTTTGTTTTACACTTGTGTAAACAAAATGACAAATACAATCTGTTTTAAGTCTAAAGTCTATAATCCTCTTTATTTACATTTATTAATCATTTTTAACACTGGCAGAATATGATACAAAACAATTTTCATTCCGCAGATTATCTATCAGTTTCAACACAGGAATGTGGCTTGACTTTAAAATGCTAATATTACTGTACTTATAATCAGAAGAAATATACAATAAACAATCAGTTTAAAATTTTATCTGCCAGAATTATAAAAATTTTAGAGTGATCACATTTACTACAAAACCCTAAGATCTAAACAAATAAGTATATAGTGCATAATACATACAAAATAATAATAAATGTCACTTTGTATTTCTTTTTTTTTCATTTAAGTTGCATTTCAGTGACATGCATTGTATAGAGTTTGTTGTAAAGGAATGTACACATTATAAAAGTATGCATGATGAATAAAGTTGGAGAGGAACCGTAAAACATTTTCTTTTTCAAATCCAACCTTGAACAAGCAGGAGATGCATATTACATATACGGTAATCCTATTGTTTTTCATGATTTTCTTATCTCAGTTTATAGAGTTTAACTGACATAATTTATCTGCTTCAAATGTTATGCCTGTTTATTTATTTTTTATATTTACCAATTCATAATTTTTTTTTTATTCATTCATTCACATTCTTTTTTCATATCAAAAGCCTAAATGTCTTAGCTTCCCAGTCAAATGTCTAGATTTAATTCCAAGACATCAAACCTCTTAGACTCCTTGAGTTTAACTTTTTCTCCTGTTAACTGAATATTTGCATGATAAAAAGTAAGACCATGCAGGCTTGAAGCAATAATTTCAGCTCGAATGTCAGACCTAAATGGTCCCTTTGCATCCCAGCCATGTGACAAAGTCAGATATCGTTCCCTGACTTAAGCCTGTTGAACTCAAATCTTTCATCAAACACATAGAATTTGACATATTTCAGTGCAGCTGAAGGAAAGCGTGATAGCAGCAGGTTGGCCCCATTATCTTTTTCCGTCTGACTTGCTGTTGGCTTACGTGAAATTGTGGTGAACCTGAGCAGAACATGAAAGGTGCTTCACTGCCTGTGTGACGCCGCTGTAGGCCCTGACTCTGCTTTTGATGTGTTAATCCTGTCACACTGATGCCAAAGCACTTCAGCGGCTCTGATACTGCCCAGAGGGGTCAGGGCTGCACTCAATGCAAGAGTTTTGACTGGCAATGTTTGACTAAACCTCACACATTAAGTTTAGTTTCACAAATAACAGAGATTCAGAGCTTTACTTTGGCATTTGTCGAGGTGGGTGAAAAGTGTGACTTTAATATGGAGTGACTCCCATTTTAGCAATGCAAATATTTGATTAGCACATATGTTAGGCACAGTTGCAGGAAATAAACCCTTAACTTTTTCAAATTATTTATGGATACAGGAAATATATCATTTATGTGAAGAACTAACATAACAAATATTAGTTTAATTTTAGATTCATTAGGCACAATGAGTAAACTGCAATTTTTCAACTAGCTCAACAAAAAACAGCTGTTTAAAATTGAACATTTAAAATTTACATTTAACATTTACATTTAACATTTAAAAGGAAACCATTGAGATTAATACAAAAATAACTGATTTAGAATGCTGCAAATATTTGTTGCATTCAGAGGAATGAAATAAATTTGCCTCTGGAAAAAGTCTGCCTCTTCTGTCACTGCTAGTTCCCTCAATGATGCGATGCACCAAATAAAACACTAGATGGCAGTGTGTGGCTATGAAATGAGGATCTGAAAGCAACAAGACTGGAAGAGTGGAAATAAAACTAATAAAAAACATATCAAAGCAACAATCTCTTTGCTAATGACATGAGACTCCAGGTAACCTTAGATCAATTGCATCAAATTGTTGTATGCGGAGGGAAACACATTTGGTTAAATGCATCTAACACGTTCTTAGAAACACGACAGCATAATTTGTCTTTGCATGTGAGGGAGAAACGTATTACGATCTGCTATTACAGCACTGACAGCTCTGACATCCTCATTAAAATCACAACAAGGATCACAGAAGACAACACCTCCCCCTCTCCCTTCAGACCAGGATATTACTCTGTATTTGTTTTCATTGTTATCCTACCAAATGACTGTTATTATGAGAGCTGATACTAAAGATGGCTTTGCTCTATAATAACGATTGACAAGGCAGCGGAAAGAGAGTTCACTTCCGAATCACTGCCTGTATCTGAAGATGGGCACATTTTCAGATACAGCTCTTCTTAGGAAATGTTTTTTTCTTTTGTAATTTTTCTCCTATTTAGAAAATTGTACAGGTATATAGAATTAGAATTTTATAATATTTTTTTTTCTGTAGCAAGACAATGATCCAAAACACAACATGTTCCCCTTAATTGCTAAAAAAACATGCCAATACAAAACAGAAATAACCAAGTTTTAGAGGTGGCCTAGTCAAAGTCTCTGTTTGAGATGAGGTGGATGGATCCTATAGAACAATATAGAGTATATATAGTTAGAACAATTAGAGTGGGAAAAAAATTCCTGTCAAAGACTTGTTGATCGCTGCCTGAAACCCAAATGGCAGCTGCTGTAGTAAAAGTTTCCACAGCCATTTGTCGGGTTTAGAGGGAAAATGATTTTATTTCACAGAACCAATGATTTGTAAAAGCTTTTGCTCTCTTAAATAAAATCATAATGTCACATTTTGATTTGTTTAATGATTTGAAACATAGAAGTGTGGCAAAAAGAATAAAAAATAGAAGAAATCTAAAACAGTTTTAAATTCAATCTGCTGTATCCATGTTTTCTCCTTACTAATTCTACATTAGCCCGTTTTACCAAGTGGATTGTGTCTGATTCAGTTCCCTCTGCTTTCTGCAGTTTGTTATGAGGAGCCGTTGCTCTAGATAAACTAAATGTTCCTAGAGATTATTTCATGATTTTCTTTTTATAATATTCATAGACATACACCTTTGGAACAGGCAGTTATGCTATTCTAATTGTATTCAAGCAGTACTGATATAACACAGTCACATGGTGAACTCAATAAGTGTAGTTGTTATTTTACTATAATTATCCTTTTCTCCATTTCTAAACATATCGTTATTGGGGACATATACCGAGAAATAATTTTAAAAAAGGCATCCCTCCAGCCATTTTCTGTCACTCTTAATCCTGGTGGGGTCGCAAAGGGTGCTGGTGCCTATCTCCAGCTGTCAATGGGCTAGAGGTGGGTAACAACCTGGACAGGTAGCCAGTCTATTGCGGGTCAACACAGAGACAAACAGGACAAACATCCATTTATGCACACACTCACACCTAATTTAGAGAAGCCAGTTAACCTAACAGTCATGTTTTTAGACTGTGGGAGGAAGCCGGAGGACCCAGAGAGAACCCAAGCATGCTCAGGAAGAATATGCAAACTCCATCCAGAAAGTACCCAGGCTGGAAATCTAACCTCCAACTTTCTTGCAGCAG